CCTGGTTCCATTAAGTGAAACATCTAATATAATGTATCTTCCCTCTGAGTCTATAATTTTACTATGTATCTCAATATCTGCTTCATATCCAAAAAAAATTGCTACTCCTGCACTTGATGTACTTCCATGACTAAAAATACCTTTACCTCCCCATTCATCTTCCCACTGGGTTTCAATTTCTTCACAGCTATGCGTTTCCTGCAAAAACACAACTGATTTTTTCTTCGCTTTTATCCAATTAAACAGATCAACTCTTTTTCTTTTACATGAATACAACCCCCTGACATTCAAAGACAATACCTCAAAATTAGCCATGATCACTTATCCAGAAATTATCAAAGCACACCCTTAGGTGATCCTGTACTTGACCCCATTTCTTATCAGTTATGGTATTTAAGTAAATAACCTCCCACACAGACAAATGACACATACAACTCAACAACAACAACACAAAACATATAGAAGCATAATACCCTTGCATTTTGGATTACTGAATACAAACTGGGACACTGTCACAATAATGTGTATCTCTGTAAAATCAGAATTGGTCTAGGATAGAAAGAAGAAAAAAATATCCGTAACTTTTGCTTAAACGTTTAAAAATTAAATGAAAATATTACCCAAAAAGTAGTGCAAGTCACGAAAATCAGCCTTGAATATGTGTATCATCAACTTATTCCACCAACAACATAAACTTTGGGATGCGAGAAAAAAGCTAACCATTAGTTAACTGCAGCTGGATCACTGGAAAGTGCATGAATTACACACATGCTATACTGATAATATTGTTTATGCGTGTTGTGACACATATCAGCACAGCATGTGCACTCCAGACACCCACACCAAACCCCTGTGGCTGGCAATTTTACAGATTGAGCTCCAGACCAGCTTTACAATAAGTTGTAAATTCGAAAAAAAAGTTTTTATTATTATTTCAATCTAAATTTGTGTATTTTTTAAATTTGCCATAGGAATATTGAATAGAGCTTCTCCTACACTGAAATACTGGTCCGGCCATGGAGGTATTAAAGAAATGCCCAGCTACCAAAAGTATTCACAAAAGCAGAAGAGTGGCCCAAAAAGAAAGCTGTGTCGTTTTGAAGAGTTCGTTCTTACTTTGATAAAGCTTCGTTTGGCATTGCTGACATTTTGTTTAGCTTATATTTTCGGAATTGCAAAAAGCAGAGTTTCTCAAACTTACATCACATGGATTAATTTTATGTTTGTTATTTTCACTCCATTATTGAAGTGGCCTTCTTCCAAAAAAGGGAAAAAATTCATGCCAAGATGTTTCCACATGCTTTTCCCAAAGACAACATGTATCATTGATTGTACAGAATTCTTTATTGAAAAGGCAAGATCACCATCAGCACAAAGTTTGACATATAGTTCATACAAACAAAGGAACACTTTCAAAGCTCTAATCAGCATTACTCCATCTGGTTGTATTAATTTTGTTTCAAATCTATGGAGTGGTAACACATCTGACAAGTACATAACAAGAGAAAGTGGGTTTTTAGATAATATTAAACCTGGAGATGAGGTTATGGCAGCCAACATTCTAAACAGACTTTGAATATGCCACCTTTCACTCGAAAATGTTCATGGGGTAAAGGAAAACGTCTCAATGCTACTGAAATAAAGAAAACACGTAATATAGCGAAACTTAGAATACATGTGGAAAGAGCTATTGAGAGATTGAAAAATTTTCATAGTTTATCAAACACAATGCCCTTAAGTTGCAAGCCAGTAGCAAACCAGATACTGAAGGTCAGTGCCTTTCTGTGTAATCTTAAGAGACCATTAGTGAGAAAGTGATTACTGTCATCATGCAGTCAGTCATATATACCTATCCAGGAATCAATCATTAATCAATATTTCAATTTGCTACAAAACTTGATGTTAAATTATTATATTGTACATCAATTTCCTTTTGCACAACAAATGTTTGGCCTGCAAGTTAAAGGTACATGCATTTCCTGTACTTTTTTTAAAGATGCACAATATTATACAGGTGTTAACAAAATCAATTATATTTTTTTTCCAAAGCCAACATTCTAAACAGACTTTTTGAAGCTTAGCTAGTGTATATATTGTACAAAATAAGAAGCTGTGAAACTTCTTATGATCTATAAGATACCTGATAATCATTTCAATACAATGAATTTTTGAATGATACTTGTACCATAAATTCATTATGGTATGATAGGTAATAATTAATCATAAATCAACTAGTTTATGAATTTCATTTGAACAATACAAATTTTGATTATTTGAATATGTCTGTGTCATTTTTTTGTTTCATTTAGCTGTTCTGCATTACATATACATAATTATACAAGTATGTATTACTGCATGTACTTATCTGGCAATAAGCAAATGACTGGTATACTAAGCCCATCCACTTAGAGCTTCATAAGAAATGTCAACAAAATTATTTTAATTACCTTGTAATAAGCCCAACTACCTGTTTGAGCCAAAGGTTAAGATTAGTGGACTAGTAGGAAACTAGAACTCAATACATGGATTTAAGATCAATAATGAGTTGAATTGTTCAGCACCAACCTTACCATAAAAGTTTTAAAGTAAGCTTTGTTCAGTTTTAACTGACAATAAACACATAGAATTGTCAGAAATGTTCTAGACATAAGATGTACAACAATACATGCCATAGATATTTCTCTATAAATATGTCCTGAAACATGCATAGAAGAAATTACAAACTCAGTATTCAACGTTTGGGGTATCAATCAAATATCAATTTATGCACCTCTGATTGTGGATTCCAGTCATAGCAATCACTTTATCACCAGGAATAATCATTGCAACAATGCCTTAGTTACATACTTGTCCCAAAATCTTTTAGATTTTTCAACAATATATTCATAAACCTCTGGGTCAAAATAGATTCTTTCCACAGCAAATGCCTTCTTTGTGTAGAATACAAAGTCACACCATTTAAGTTTACACCCCCCCATCTGTCCCTGAATCTGGATGTACCAAGGCGAATCTTTTTTCAAATGGATAACATTTGCATCATCACTGTACAAGTGGTAGTGAGCATCAGCACATGCATCTTGTGGTGTTGAATCTCTGAAGGTATAAGAACATTTGACCTCCAACAACCCTTTTCCACAACACTTACAGCAAACCAGACCATCAGGTGAGGCACCCATGAATGGATGATCAGCGTCAACAAAGAAACCACACTCCCTGACTGTTGACTTCTTCTGATTAGATGCATACTGTGTCGAGTACAGTGATCGAGCAATAGGTTCATGGTCTTTGCCAAACCTCAGAATTTCTGGGGCACCTGATCCTGAGGACATAACTGGAGGTGGTGGACACATAACTTTTTTAATATATAGTTATCATAATTCTCATTGAATCGAAAGTGTAACACTGAAGAAAATATGGAAGCTGTTACACGACCTGTCCTGTAAGCAAACCAGTCAATATTATCAGCTTGACCCCTTGTCATTTCTTCAATCCTCTGCACTGTTTTCACATCAGAATGTGTTGAAATCACTTTTGACGCCAACAAATTTGTAGCATCAACATTACCTTTCACAGTATCTGCAATTTCTGTCAAAGTTGGCGGGAAAATTTCATCATCTGAACTGTCATCATCACTTGGTGGATCCAAAGTTTGAAGAAGCACACTATCACTTTTCTTACACAACAGATAAACCTCTTTCTCCACCTGCCTCTTGGACAAACACTCTGTCCTAACCATAGGATTGTAGTTTGAAGCAGTAGCAGACTTGGGAACAGGTGTTACCTTATTTACTCTGGTATCAATGTGCTCAATCTCTAATGGTGTAGTGGTTCTCCTCGGCTTGTCCCAAACACAAGCAACGTCTGTGCCAACCTCAGTGCTGCGGTCTTTATGTCGATCACAGAAGGCTGACAAGGCAAACAACAATGCCACACAATGCTTACATGTGCCGTCATCACTGAAAATAAATACATAAATGTTCAATGTACGGTCAAACTTCTGTAGCAGAACTGGACTGAGCGTTGGTGGCCGGATAGCTCAAATGGTTAGAGCGTCTGTCTAGTGTTCGGAGGTCCCGGGTTCAAGTCCCGGTCTGGTAATTGGCATTGCATTTTCCCTCTCCTGTTAATTTGGCGCCCAACTAAATACTCAGAGGTGGTATAGGGTCTCATGTGTGTCTTCGGGGTCTCAAACTCTAACTCAAAGACCCTGATTAACTCCAATGTAAATTTCGGTTCTGACAGTAAAATTTGTATATAAAATATATTCTGTATCCTTGAATACTAAGGGTATCTCGTAGTTTTTTCATGACCTGAGTAACTTCAATGTATCGACGTTCGACTGTATTTGCATTAAATGTAAACAATATTATTGCAGGGGTTGTAAGAAACAAATACACTTTATTTGGTTACCTATATATATATTATTTATATATTTTTTAATTCGATTGGCTCATTGTCATATCACATTCGACTTTAAATTTTGGAAACTTACGCAACACAGTTGCAACCCCCAGATTTCACATGTCCATCCTTCTGTAGGAGAAGCCACGTAGAATACGGAGTGGCACTTTGTCTGGTCTCAGGGATACACGACGCCTTGACGTACAAATGCGAGTCACTATTTGAAATGTTCCCGAGGCAGACGTCATTGATATGATGGTCAATGTAGAGTTTGTAACCATTATCGTTCTTGTAATTTTTCAACCTCGATTCAGACCAACCGCATCCGTTCATGAAATATATGATGATATCACAGTACTCCACATTAGGGGCAGAAGTCATATCAGACATCCAGGACTTTACCTTGCTGACGTCATCCAATACAGTTGAATCAACAGTGCGTCTCATGACGTCCATGTCGTGGTAGTCATCACAGGTCACAACCTCTAAGTCCAACTCGTTTGCTAGCTTGCACAGTCTAACTAAATCGTTTTTACGGTACAAACTGCATGCTATACCCCTCTCTTGCAAATAATGTTTCAAAAATGGCACCTGAAATCCTTCAAAATCCATCCCGGTAAAAATATTTGTATCGCAAGTTGAAAAAAGTTGTGAATGTTGAGGAATGTCAGCGTAAACCGGAAGTTTACATGCCTCGATTTTCGTGTCCATGGGTACTCTTTTTTACCTCCACACAGGAGTTTCTTATAACCCGGAACAGAGCTATTGTAATGTGTGAGAAGAATAATGTTTATGTATGATACATTTGCATTGTTATAAATTTGGAAAAAAAAAATAAAAAAAAATATCAGACCTGCGATTGGTTGTAAGCTTTAATTGTTTCAATTGTGACGTCACAGGATTAAGCACTGGAGTCAAAATGGCGGTTTTTACATTTCAAGATTTCATTGTCGTTTTACACGTGTGATAAAAAGGATCTAACTCTCTGAAACTCGTCACGAATTTTCTCATATGAAATGGAAACTGGTGTAAGAGCCTATATATTGTAACTACCCGAGTTCTCGCTGTGAGCCCAGGACATGAACTAGATTTACAGACGGGTGTTGTAGATGACGCAGCAGACCCGTACCCGTCCAGAACATCTGGTATTGTAAATACGTTTTGAACTGTCTCGTGTGAGCATTTCATTTGCTCATATATTTTGCCCAGGTTTTATCGATATATTATTCGATTTATGGTTTAACACTAAACTTTTTTTTTAATAACTGATTACCTCTGATTCCATTAATAGGAGCTACCAACTCTCTCTCCCATCGCCTTTGCACTACCTTTTACCTCCGATAACATTAATAGGAGCTACCCACCCTCTCTCCCATCGCCTTTGCATTCCCTATTACCTCCGATAACATTAATAGGAGCTACCCACCCTCTCTCCAATCGCCTTTGCACTCCCTATTACCTCCGATGCCATAAATAGGAGCTACCCATCCTCTCGCATCGCCTTTGCACTCCCTATTACCTCCGACGCCATTAATAGGAGCTACCAACCCTCTCTCCCATCGCTTTAGCACTCCCTTTACCTCTGATGCCATTAATACGAGCTACCCACCCTCTCTCCCGCCGCCTTTGCATTCCCTATTACCTCTGATGCCATTAATAGGAGCTACATGTACCCACCCTCTCTCCCATCGCATTTGCACTCCCTATTACCTCCGATGTCATAAATATGAGCTATCCTACCTCTCTCCCATCGCCTTTGCACTACCTTTTACCTCCGATGCCATTTATAGGAGCTACATGTACCCACCCTCTCTCACATCGCCTTTCACTCCCTATTACCTCAGATGGCATGAAAAGGAGCTACCCCCCCTCTCTCCCACCGCCTTTGCATTCCCCATTCCCTCTGATGCCATTAATAGGAGCTATCCACCCACTTTCCAATCGGCCTTGCACTCCCTTTACCTCTGATGCCATTAATACTCCCTATTACCTCTGATGCCATTAATACTCCCTATTACCTCCGACGCCATTAATAGGAGCTACCCACCCTCTCTCCCATCGCCTTTCACTCCCTATTACCTCAGATGGCATGAAAAGGAGCTACCCACCCTTTCTCCCATCGCCTTTGCACTCCCTTTTACCTTTGATGCCATTAAAAGGAACTACCCACCCTCTCTCCCATCGCCTTTGCACTCACTATTACCTCCGATGCCATTTATAGGAGCAACCCAACCTCTCTCCCATCGTCTTGGTACTCCCTATGACCACCAATGCCATTAATAGGAGCTACCCAACCTTTCTCCCATCGCCTTTGCATTCCCTATTACCTCTGATGCCATTAATAGGAGCTACCCACCCACTCTCCAATCGGCCTTGCACTCCCTTTACCTCTGATGCCATTAATAGGAGCTACCCACCCTCTCTCCCGCCACCTTTGCACTCCCTATTACCTCTGATGCCATTAATAGGAGCTACATGTACCCACCCTGTCTCCCATCGTCTTTGCACTACCTATTACCTCCGATGCCATTTATAGGAGCTACATGTACCCACCCTCTCTCTTATGGTCTTGGCACTCCCTATTACCTCCGATGCCATAATTGGCGTTACCCACCCTCTCTCTCATCGCCTTTGCACTCCCTATTACCTCCGATGCCATGAAAAGGAGCTACCCACCCTTTCTCCCATCGCCTTTTCACTCCCTTTTACCTTTGATGCCATTAATAGGAACTACCCACCCTCTCTCCCATCGCCTTTGCACTCCCTATTACCTCAGATGCCATGAAAAGGAGCTACCCACCCTTTCTCCCATCGCCTTTTCACTCCCTTTTACCTTTGATGCCATTAATAGGAACTACCCACCCTCTCTCCCATCGCCTTTGCACTCACTATTACCTCCGATGCCATTTATAGGAGCAACCCACCTTCTCTCCCATCGTCTTGGTACTCCCTATGACCTCCAATGCCATTAATAGGAGCTACCCAACCTTTCTCCCATCGCCTTTGCATTCCCTATTAACTTCGATGCCATTAATAGGAGCTACCCACCCTCTCTCCCATCGCCTTTGCCCTCCCTATTACCGCTGATGCCATTAATAGGAGCTACCCACCCACTCTACAATCGGCCTTGCACTCCCTATTACCTCTGATGCCATTAATAGGAGCTTCCCTACCTCTCTCCCATCGCCTTTGCACTCCCTATTACCTCCGATGTTATAAATATGAGCTACCCAACCTCTCTCCCATCGCCTTTGCATTCCCTATTACCCTCGATGCCATTAATAGGAGCTACCCACCCACTCTCCAATCGGCCTTGCACTCCCTATTACCTCCGATGCCATTAATAGGAGCTTCCCTACCTCTCTCCCATCGCCTTTGCACTCCCTATTACCTCCGATGTCATAAATATGAGCTACCCAACCTCTCTCCCATCTCCTTTGCATTCCCTATTACCTTCGATGCCATTAATAGGAGATACCCACCCACTCTCCAATCGGCCTTGCACTCCCTATTACCTCCGATGCCATTAATAGGAGCTTCCCTACCTCTTTCCCATCGCCTTTGCACTCCCTATTACCTGCACTCACTATTACCTCCGATGCCATTTATAGGAGCAACCCACCCTCTCTCCCATCGTCTTGGTACTCCCTATGACCTCCAATGCCATTAATAGGAGCTACCTTCCCTTTCTCCCATCGCCTTTGCATTCCCTATTCCCTTCGATGCCATTAATAGGAGCTACCCAACCTTTCTCCCATCTCCTGTGCATTCCCTAGTACCTTCGATGCCATTAATAGGAGCTACCCACCCTCTCTCCCATCGTCTTGGTACTCCCTATGACCTCCAATGCCATTAATAGGAGCTACCTTACCTTTCTCCCATCGCCTTTGCATTCCCTATTACCTTCGATGCCATTAATAGGAGCAACCCAACCTTTCTCCCATCTCCTTTGCATTCCCTATTACCTTCGATGCCATTACTTTCTCCCATCGCCTTTGCACTCCCTATTACCTCCGATGCCATTAATAGGAGCTACCCACCCTCTCTCCCATCGCCTTTGCATTCCCTATTACCTTCGATGCCATTATTAGAAGCTACCCACTCACTCTCCAATCGGCCTTGCACTCCCTATTACCTCTGATGCCATTAATAGGAGCTTCCCTACCTCTCTCCCATCGCCTTTGCACTCCTTATTACCTCCAATGTCATAAATATGAGCTACCCAACCTCTCTCCCATCGCCTTTGCATTCCCTATTACCTTCGATGCCATTAATAGGAGCTACCCACCCTCTCTCCCATCGCCTTTGCACTCCGTATTACCTCTGATGCCATTAATAGGAGCTACTCACCCTCTCTCCCATCGTCTTGGCACTCCCTATTACCTCCGATGCCATTAATAGGAGCTTCCCTACCTCTCTCCCATCGCCTTTGCACTCCCTATTACCTCCGATTCCCTATTACAAAAACATGGTTTATGTTCAGTGACATTTAAAATATTTGAAAGTGAGTAATTACCAGCTGCTTTATATTGTTTTGACCAAATACAATCTGACTATTATATGTGGCGGAGAGATGGACTGCACGCAAAACTTTTTTTTATATCTTGATAAACTTTTTGCATTCATATATCAAAACTACCTATTTTCTGCTGCTGTACTTTGATATACTTTGGATATTTTTCATGCTTCTACACTTG